TCTTGAATCATCACCTTTTTCTTCGTTCCCGTCCTCTTCATCAGTGCTGCTATTGGGATCAACATCATCCTTCCAAGTGAACAATGCACAAAATCCTCAACAGTAGCTGTCTCACACGAATGACCTGTTTTGGCTTCTTAGGGATTATTGCAGGAAACTACATACCGGAATTTTCATCCTCATCTTGAAGTACTTAGGTTTTCTTAAGCTAAGTTTTTCTCTTTGGCTTCTGAGAGGATCATCGTCAGTTTTTTTATTTTTTCACAGTTGACGGCCTTAGAAGGATTTTTTTTAAAGATGTAAAATTGTCCAGTTACTCTAGTTATGTTATGAAAATATTTTTGAAATAATTTATTTATATATAATAAATTTTCAATTAAGCAAGGTGATATGATCGAGATGTGTAATACGTAATTAATGTGAAAGCGTTTCAATTAATTATTAATTAGCGTTAAAACATTTCAATTTATCATTGACTACACTTGCAACCCAAGATGGGTAATGTGTAATAAACATGAAAGTGCCTTAATAATTAATTGGTGCAACTCTTAAAAATAGCTTTATTGTAACTTTTAATTAAATATGAAAAAGTCATATTAGTTATCGGATAATTGAGCTTCTATTTTTTTATCAATATCAAATGTAACTAAATATTCAAAACATTGCATTAAATGAAAGTGCAATATTACCCTTACTAGTCAAAGTATGGGCCACAAAATTATTAAAAACCACACATTTTTAGTTTTTACACAAGTTTTCCTTCCAATCACATTAGAGACTTTAGTGATCTTGCTTTAATAGGCTTTCGGGCTTTTTTCCTCCCACTATTGCCACCCTCCTCATCTTCTACCTCATACTCGATCTCGAATTCTTCATTGTTGATTTGAGAGAATGTGGGTTGTATCATTTCACGTTCTTGCTCAACATTTTTAGGGACGTCCAGACTCTTCCCGCCTCTCTTCTTGCCCCATCGTGGTCCAAATCCCGAATAGTAGTAAAATTCATTCGGATTTGATGTTGAAGCTGCCTTCTTGGCCCGTGGCCTGTGCTTAGAGTCAGCTGCCTCCTTATCTTGATGCTTCGTCGTTGGAAGGGCCGAGTAGTAGTTTCGGACTTGAGAAAAGTGGTGCTTGCACAAAGAGTTCCCTTCGGCCGCCTCATTCTTGCATTTCCATGCTTTTCCATCTGTCTTGGCACAATATATAATCTCCTTTTCCTTCTTTAACCCGGGATTTGCAGGGCCTTCATCCGAGTTATCATGGGCAGAGCCGCCCACATTGCCTTCATCGCCGTTGGAATTATCCCATTTTCCAGCTTTGATCTCTCCAGTTTGTCCATCGTCCGCAGCAATTTTCGGTGATGCAGCACTATTGATAAAAATCCAAATATACATTTGACTCCAAATTTCAAAAAACCGATAATGCTGATTGGAGAACCCTAATTATTTCTGTATCAATAAAGAGCTGGAAAATTTGTAAGATATTCAAATTAAACACAGAAATAAAACGATTACCTCTGAAAAGCTGCATTAGATTCTCCCAAGCTCCCATTTTTCGCTAAATTATCAGTTCCATTCACCTGCATAGAAATTATTCTATGTCAACAAAATAGAAACACCCAAGTTAAAATAAACAAATACAGTAAAAACCCACAAAAGAATTCGAATTCCAAAGACCAAATACACGACAAAAACCCATTGATTCACATTTTTTGTATGAACCCTACTGGTGGGGTTTTCAGAAAACCCTAGAAGAAAAAAGAATAAATGCAAAAATGAAGGTAAATTTGGCAAGAATAAAAAATGAATTTCAACAGATCTGCCCATAGAATTAAAGTCCAGTCATTATGCATAAAAATTAACTAACCTGGAACGACGGTGAAGGCAGTGGTGGCGAAAAATTCATAACGTCCCAAGGGGACATATTTAACCGGCATTGAATCACGGTTCCAGGTTTCAGTGAAGATGCTGCGTACATCAGTGGACAAATCATGGCGTGCTTCCTTATTCTCATGGCTGTTCTGTGGCTTTTTGGGGGAGTTCTTTGGTGGGTAGTCGGGGCAGCAGCTCTCAATGGTAGAGAGGTTTTGAGGGGGTGAGCAATATATATATATATATATATATATAATATTTTTACTTTATCTCTCTCTGTATGTGTGTTTATGTATCAGTTGTGTATCTTTTTAGATATATTTGTTGCACAGTACATATCTTCAGACAACCGCTTATGGCCCACAGATAGTGTTTATGAGTTGTGCCCTATTGGTTTGGTTGGTGGAAAGTGAAAATATTTTGCTCCCCATTTTATAAAATCCATTTTTTTTAAAAATTTATTTTTAACTAAATAATTTTAAGCATGAATTCCTAACTTTTCTTGCTTTTTAATTATACGTTCTAAAAAAAATTACACTATAAAAAATTTATTATAGAAAAATTTATATCAAACAGACCATAATAAGAGTTGACAAATCATTACCCTATGATCCACTCAAGAATTATCAGAATATTCATTATATGTATCTATTGATCAATGGTGTGGATCACTTTTTAAGAGGGTACTCTATGGTATCCATGTTGTGTCTAATTTACCTTGTATAGATGAATTAACAAACAAATTTGATGAGAAATTGTGTGTTAATGGACTACCAACATTTTTTTATTATACATTCTCTAAAAAATTATGTTTTACAAAATTTATTCTAAAAAAATATACATCAAACAAATTATTTGCAAAACTAGAAGTTAATGAAAAAATCTATGCATATTTGTTAAATAGAATCTTGTAATCTTCAACCCACTCTAGCATTACGAAAATGATTAGTGGATTACATGTATCAATTGATCAACAGCGCGGACACTTTTGAAAGAGAGCACACGGTGATATTTGTGTTATGTCTAATTTACCTTCTATAAATGAATTAACAAATAACTTCGGTACAAGAAATTGTGTTAGTTTATACTTTAGTAAGATAGATATTGTTCTATGTCAAATAAAAAAAAAAAATATTATGAGAAGTTCGTTTTTCCTAGATTGAAGTATTGGTTCATTATAAAGGTTCTTCGTCATTTTCACTAGTACAATTTCTTTAGGATTATCTTCACGAGAGAGGTGGTAAAACAAGTAGACCCAATCCAAGGATTCTCCTTTACGAGGTTCCACAAAATGTCCCTACCATAATTCGATTATTAATACAATATACAAAGACCGTCATTATAGAAAATATTACACCCTTGATCCGAATATTGAAGTCTTTACTCAATGTAAAGTCGTGGTCTACGCAGACAAGCTTTTGATCGAGTTTGATAGTTTTGATTAAAAAACAAGACAATTGGATCAAGTTTTTGCTAAACTCTGAACGGTGAATTTATGAGGAATACGAAGTCCAAATCCGACTAGCCATTCTAGTCAAAACAAAACAAAACAATACTTAAAATGCCAGAGTACAAGATATGGACACAATGCAACAAGATATGGTCACAATGCTGCCTCGGTTGAACTTAAGATGGTGATGACTGATGATAAAGCCTCGTTTATAATGCACAATAGATTTTTGTGTGCGTGTGTAATCATCGAACCAATTTGTTGGCTGTTCTTGTTTCTGCATATTGTGAATAACTTATTAGTAATGGAACTAACAAATGGATGTATATATAATATAACAATGAAGGAGATTAGTCCTCACCTTTCTCCCTATACAATATTCTGTTTCCACGTAAGAACAAAATTTGTGGTCATTCTTTAACTTTAAGTGCGTAGGCAAAATGGAAAGCAAAGCTATCCCACTCAGGACAATTGATCCCCTTTACTAAACAATTGGGATTCTCCTCTACCAACATCTCTTCCTTGAGAATCATCACATTTATCTTCGTCCCTGTTATCATACTCACCACTGTTGCTATTGGAATCAACATCATTATAAACTTTATCTTTCTGAATATCCGAATTCTACTGTCGGATTGATTCAAAGGTCCTTTCAAGCGAATCACTGACAAAATCTTCAACTACAGCTGCTTCACTCTGACGACCACGCTTGGGCATCTTAGGAATCACTATAGGGAACTTCCTTCCAGAATTTTCATCCTCGTCTTGAGGAACTTCAATTTTCTCTCGTTGAGCTCTTCCTTTCGGCTTCAATTTAGGACTTTGACTACAATTCTTGTCGGGTTTTGGATTAGAACTCTTTGAACTCGAAGTGCATACTATTTATAGAGGCGCATGTCAAAACCTATAAACAATCCTAAGGATGGAAACCAGGTCAAAAACGCGTGTAAAGACAAAAAGAGGGAAAAATCGCGAAATGCTGTGGTGCTCGAGCTCCAGCTAGCACTTGATGAGCGTCAAGGGCGCTTGAGTGTCAAACGGGCACTAGGCGAGCGACAGTTCCTTGCTGAAAAATTTGTCCTGCTGCTTGAGCGTTGGGCGGGAGCCATCAACTCTTTTTTCCTTATTGGACCTTATTTTGACATATTCAAGCTTAATACTCCAAATCACGCAAACCTAGATGAATTTAGGTGGCAAACCGAACAATTTCCACTGTGACACAAATTTCACTACAACGAGCAAGACTTCAAAATTTCTCCACCTGGAGAAAACATTCGACTGCAACGAATAAACGAACTCTTCAACAAGAACCAAACTTCTCTAACAAACTAAAAAAAAACTCCACCTTTTCCACAATATTCAAGTAGGATATATGAATCCAAGCACTATTTCGCCAAATTAGCTCAGATTCAACCAAAAAATCATGAATGATTTAGAAATTACGAAACGGGGCCGGAAAGATACACTGAAGCTGAATCAACACTAATTGCTTTTGTAAAAAGTCCCTTGCTAGACTGAACACTTTCAAATAACTTTAAGCATGAGCAATAAAATCAGCTTCTTTGTACCTATCTCCACTGGGTCTAATCCCCAACAATTGAATATGATAGCATCGCATGTGATGGTGGGAAAGTGATGTTATCCATATCTTTTGAACTCGACTGAGCTGTATTTTTCAACACGGACCTCAAACCGAATCCTAATAATACTATACCAAATTGAATATTCACCATAGTACTAAACCTTTGCTGATTAATCTTCAAGGATTCTGCACAACCTTGCAAAATGTATAACTGAGAATTTTTCTACCCTTCCAATACAATACAATGTAGACACCTTGCAAGCCTTAAAAGCTCCACCTCTACCAATTAACTTGTACCCTTTTAAATCAAGAGTAGAAACGAGATGAGATTTTTCTTCAAATCTAGAATATGTCGAATGTGATCAAGTCTAAATGTCCCATCCAACAATTTAAGTCCGACTCTACCAATATCAGCTATCCTATAAAGTGGATTGTTTTCCACTATCACAACACCTTTCGAAACTATTTCATATGTTGAAAATTAATTTCGATTGGGATACATATGAAAAGTACGAGTTGAATCTAGAATTTAATCATCATCAGGTTTAGATTCGCTGTAAAAAAGAATTAAAAGATTTCCATCACTCTAGTAGTCCTCCATGACATCGACTTCGCTTGACGTATTTGATTTTCTTCCTTTTTTATTCTTAACCAAATTTCCTTTATGTTGAAACTTGTTGAAATTCCTCTTGATGTGTCATTTCTTTTTGTAATAAAGCAAAATTGATTACTGAAATGAAATTTCGACATGCCCTTTTCGTGACCACCATGAACAACGAGGCCTTCTCAATCTCTAACCTCAAATCCAACCAAATGTTTCATCTTCTCCTTTGAAAATAAAGCATCATACACATCTTCAATAGTAAAGATATTACCACTATATAAAATCTTATCTCTAAACAAAAGAAATGAAGTAGACAATGAACACAAAAGGAAGGCCAAATATTCTTCATCATACTTTACCTCCAAAGTCTCCAAATTAGTGATGATCTTCTTAAAAATAACTAGATGATTTTTCAAAGATTCGCATTCTGTCATGCAGTGAGAATAAAACCTTTGTTTCAGATGCAATTTGTTTATCAGACTCTTGATCATTCACAATTACTATAACTTCAATCACAAGTAGCTACCATTTTTTAAGAATGTTATTCGAAAAATGAAATGAATTTGTGAAAGTACCTTCCAATCCTTCCGTTGTTTTTCCTCCATGTCCAAATTGTTGGCATCTTGTCAGACCCTAATCCCATCATCGTGTACTGCTTGCATCTTCATCAACCACAACGATAATCTAGTGCTATGATCTAAAAACAAAACATCATACATCATGGTTGCCATCAAGAAGAAAAAAAACCTTGAACAAATCAAATTAAAGCTCCAATACCACTTGTTGGAAACGAGGCGAGATTATAAGGCACAATATAAAGTTTGATCGCAACAACAAGATGAACATAAAGACAATAATTTAATTTGACGGAGGAATTAAAGATTTTATTAAACTACAAAAAAAGAGGAAGAGAAATTACAACAATTATGTCTCTCACGATAATTCTAATGTTTAATATTATAAAACTTGTAAAGAAGATTATATTATTTATAGGGGTGCACGCCAAACCTTAGAAATGGCTCTAAAGATGAAAATTAGGTAAAAAAATGCGTGTAAAACAAAAACAAGGAAAATCCCTAAATGCTGCGGTGGTTGAGTGCTCAGCTAGCACTAGGAGAGCGCCAAGTAAGG